CAATCATGTCATTAAGATTTCCCCATATTCTGGTAAGATAAAAGATTGTTATATGCAGGCTGATATATATGGACTCCATGTTTGTAAATTTAGAACAGCTGCACCATATGGACTGAATGTTTCTAACTTTAGAAAAGCCAAACCATAAGGATACTATATACATAATATGATATACATGTCTTATAGAATAATTTGTGATATTCAAAGTCAGGCTTTTTATTTGTTGAAAAGGTTTCAGGTTTTTGCACATTGTAACAAACTTAAACAACTTTTTGAGTATTACATATTTGTTTGAATGTTCAATTTCAAAATAAGACCATTCTATTTGATAAATACATACATGGCAATAACCGGAGACATATATAACATATATATATATACGTCTCTGCAGTAACCAAATTATTTATGCATATATGTATATACACAATATAAGAATTGATATTAAGTACACAAGTACGTAATTGTGTACTTGAGTACTGAAGCATGTCCATTATCGTGATTTTGTCTCATCATAACAAAAGACTTCCTGCATAAGTGCAAAATTTTCCCACTTAAGTGAAATGTCACATGATGATAAAAAAAATGAAAATCCTTATTACCTGTGAATATAAATAATTATGCGTTTTGATGGAAACCCCTCCATATATATGTGGAAATGATTTCTTTTAAGGCATTACAATTCATTTAGACATTAAAATGTATTAGTTTCATGATTAAGCAAGGGCTAATGAATTATATAGTAAAATCCCATAATAATATTGAACAGATTTAAGTCTGTGATAACGCTTTGTACACAATGCTCATTCTGTGCATCAACCAAATATGTTGAAGCATTACTTAGCGTCCAAACATGCATATGTTTGTGTGTTATCTAACAATCGGGCCAGTCCTATCTGTCTGACCCCTGGGGCTGTACTTGAATTTATATCAACAATATTCAATAACACCGAGCGATGTAACGCTGATATAACACTGACCCTTTTAAGTCGGAGAATGAGTTTCAGTGACGTACATGTATGTATTGATCAATACATGTTTCCCAGTCAGCAGTTATTCAGAAACATGCCTTAGTTACGATGCGACAGATGGTAGGGAATATTGAGAAGGGGTTGACGTGTGCGAGTTTGAGACAAAACTTACTTTTTGGGCCTTTTGCCTTTCAGTGGAGGCAAATTTAGTAGCTCTGGGTCACTATCCGATGAGTTTCCGAGTAGATTCATCATTATATCCTGACTGGTTGCCCCGGATTTCTTCATTTCACGCGTTAAGTAGATATCTAACACCACCGGACGGAGAAATAAACAAAAAACAATAGCTGCACACGTTGTCAAAAACTTGTTCCTCTCCCGAAATCAGTTCAGGAAGTTTTCCTATGACGTCATGAGGTCAAAGGGAACCAGACATTTTTTTGGGGGGGTTCATCAGTGACCATCAAACGATTGTTTAGATATACATAATGAAGGAGTGCTAGTTTGTTACATTTTAAGAGCGAAAATAGAAGGGAAATGCTTGATAACGGTATCCCCAGATAGAAACAAAAACATAATAAAAACTTCGTATTGAACGTCGACAAGCCTTCCTACTTGCGTTGGAGGGGAAGTAACTCGCACTAGTCCCGATACAGTTACAAAATCGCTCTTGATCTTATACTGATAACGGGGATGTATAGTATTATATACTGTATTATACGTCATTGTTGCGAATGAGGAACCATTTTCCTCAAAACTTCTTTAATAACAAAACCTAACTTACCAGAATTCACAAACAACAACATCGCGAGATATGAATTTGGGTGTCATTCAGTCAAGTCAATGAAAAACAAGTCTTTCCTTTTCGTTAGTCTCTCACTATGTAAGTCCGTGCTAGAGTTGAGGAAAAAAGCCATTATGAATACGAGTGCTGTCGCAAGTTTAATTGGAAACTGACATTAAAAAAAATCAACGTTTTGTTACATCTCGGCATGATGTTGTTTAGTTTGAGCAAGTTGAACTCGAGACATTTTCTGTAAGGGCGAATTCAAATCATAACGAATTGGTTTTGTTTGATCTGCGGTTTGTATCAAGAGAAGTTTTCGTGTGGCAATAATGTTTACATATTCTGTTTTCCGTTTTGATTCAACAACTTCTAGAACACTCAATGTTTGTTTTTCATATATCTGATATCCATTAGATAACCTTTAGAATCCTTCCGTACAATGTAGGTATGCTTCCGTTTACTTAATCACGCGTGTTGAATTATCTAAAAATACCTGCGGTTTTCAACAAATTAGCTTGATACATTTCCTTAACAATATAGTGAGATTCCCTTGAATGTCTGCCTGTAGGTATATACACTAATGAAGGTGTTGAAGTTGACGTCATCATATCTTGTGAAGATTCACAATGCCTATCGGGGTTTAACTCCATGACTTTACCGCCCATACACTGAGAGTAGAGTTTATTTATATGAGACGAGTCTCTCGCGAAGTAAATCGAACAATTCCTGACATGTTTCATAAAAAATCATACATCATACCAAATTTTGCGTTTACACAGAGACATATACAACACATATATGTGATATATACGTCTCTGCGTGAACTAAAAATAAAATGAACGACACTGAAGACAGCGGGACAGAGAAAAGGACAGATATTGACTCTAAAATGGTGATAAGCGAGAATGTTTGTCATACTGTTGTTCATATTGACTTCAAGTGTATGTCTAGCCAAAAAAAAAGTATGCAACGGGTGCGTGGTGCTGTTTCCTGTCTCAGTATATCAGGCTCATCATTTGACCATCTGACTATACATCAAACAAGTTTTGGTCTGAAGCCTGACGGGTGAAGGCCATCTGAGTGGGTTGTGTGAAGAACGGATAATAATTTTTTAAGAAAAAGACATCGAATAAATCTCCGAGGACAGGCCACTAGATAGGAAAATAGTTTAAATGTTAACTTTAAAACGCTACTCTGCCTAATCGCCTGAATGGATTTCAACCAAATTTGATCTATTAGGAGAGAGAAATTCTGAGGATTTGGCCCTTTTTATATCCATACAGTGACAAAACCCTTTGCATGTTTGAACGTCAGATGGCCTTTAAGGAACATAGGCTTCGTCTGTTTTTTTTAAACTGAGATATGGGAGAGAATATGGTGATGGTTAAGACAGGACTGATCTATTGCATATCCAGTGTTGGAGTGTTTTTTACCCTTTTTCTTCCAGTTATAATACAACGTCCAAATCCTGGATCTTCCACTACTATCATCTGTGTTTATTACACACAATATCTACCATCACCTGTTGTTGTTGTTACACATAATATCTACCATCACCTGTCATTGTTACACACAATATCTACCATCACCTGTCATTGTTACACACAATATCTACCATCACCTGTCGTTGTTACACATAATATCTACCATCACCTGTCGTTGTTACACACAATATCTACCATCAGCTGTTGTTGTTGTTACACACAATATCTACCATCACCTGTCGTTACACACAATATCTACCATCACCTGTTCTTGTTACACACAATATCTACCATCACCTGTCGTTATTACACACTATATCTACCGTCACCTGTTGTTGTTACCCACAATATCTACCATCACCTGTCATTGTTACACATAATATCTACAATCACCTGTCGTTGTTACACACAATATCTACCATCATCTGTTGTTGTTACACAAAATATATCTACCATCACCTGTCGTTATTACACACAATATCTACCATCACCTGTCGTTGTTACACACAATATCTACCATCACCCGTCGTTGTTACACACAATATCTACCATCACCTGTTGGTGTTACATACAGTATCTACCATCACCTGTCATTGTTACACACAATATCTACCATCACCTGTCGTTGTTACACACAATATCTACCATCACCTGTCATTGTTACACACAATATCTACCATCACCTGTCGTCGTTACACACAATATCTACCATCACCTGTCGTTGTTACACACAATATCTACCATCACCCGTTGTTGTTACACACAATATCTACCATCAGCTGTCATTGTTACACACAATATCCACAATCACCTGTCATTGTTACACACAATATCTACCACCACCTGTCGTTGTTATACACAATATCTACCATCACCTGTCGTTACACACAATATCTACCATCACCTGTCGTTGTTTTACACAATATCTACCATCACCTGTCGTTACACACAATATATACCATCACCTGTTGTTGTTACATAGAATATCTACCGTCACCTGTCGTTGTTACACACAATATCTACCATCACCTGTTGTTGTTACACACAATATCTACCATCACCTGTCGTTGTTACACACAATATCTACCATCATCTGTTGTTGTTACACACAATATCTACCATCACCTGTTGTTGTTACACACAATATCTACCATCACCTGTTGTTACACCATCACCTGTCATCATTTCATAAAATGTCTAGATCACATCATCATTTTCCTTACTGCTTTCGCATATATATGTAGTACAGAAAGAAACAACTCAATCTTAATATAATTTTTCCTTTTATTAAAAACATGCATATATCATAATATTTCAATTTTTATATCAGTTATGTAAATCAAGCCATCAGTACATAGAAGGACCATTTTTTATTGAAACACCTTTTTATACACAGATAATCATAACATCCAACAATATGCAGAGACATCTGAAAAGTCACTTGTTTATCAGTAGATCTGGCATGACCAATAGAAAATATGAAAATTAGAATCAATACACTTGAGCTTGTATTGATTTTCAGTGACGTAGCAATAATATATGTTTGTATGCTTAAGCATACACTCGAAACAGCGATAATTGTTAACAAAAATTATTACTGCATTTTGTCATTTTTGTTGAATAAAATATGTTGGTGTAAATAGAAAAGATATTTCTAATAAGCTAATACCTGATACCTTCAGGGGGCTTTGCCCCCAACACCCCAACCCCCTCCCACCAGGGCTTTGCCCCCCAGACCCCAACCCCCTCCCACTAGGGCTTTGCCCCTAGACCCTCTTTTGAAAGCATACACTCCTAAAAACATTTGCTATGCCACTGATTCCAAACACTATTATCAATGTTAGCTTTTAGCTATCCTAGACATGTAACAGTTAAATTCACAGAACAATATTTTTTGTAAATAATGAAAATGGAACCAATTGTGAAATACACATCAAGATTGCTAACTGAAAAGTTTAAAGCACCTATGCAAGTATTTTATAATCTGAATACTCATTCTCCAACATCCAAAAAAAATAAAGTTTCTTCACAAAGAATGACACACACATTGATAAACAAACATTTAAATTTTTGAACATGGTAACTTTTTCACAGGGACTTGGCACGAATTTCTAACCTATGGTCTTTATATATATAGTAACTATATGTAAATCATGATTAGGAATTTGCACCAAGTCCCTGTGAATTTGCTGTAATATAATGGAAATGCAATGGGAATGTAGTAAAATGTATCAGTATCAAATAATGGCTGTAAACATTTTAAACCATACATCCATCTAATGGGTAAGAAAGACTTGGGCGGTGAAAAATTTCAGTCAGTTTAAAGTGTGGGTACCCTTGTTGATCTTTTACATCGATTCTCAACCAACCACAACCCCATGGAGAGTACAACAGTACACACTGCCAGTCCAATCATAAACCAGGTAGAAGGGAACTGTCCCTGGAAAAACAATGCACAACATTCTAAATATCAATTGACGTATCAATGGCAAATTGTATGCAGTACTTAATTCTATGAAACTGACTACTATGGATCAATGTAAAGAAAAATTGATTGGGACGGGAAAATCAGATAAAATCCATAATTGATTATCAATTAATAAATATCTGATAGGCTTTTCAGTGTGGTTAATCAATGAATCAGCTGTGTGTGTTCAATATACATATAAAGTGAGTGTATCCTGTGTTCTTTTTTATAACTTGAACTACAATACCTAACTTATCTAGAATTCACAAAAGAATGAATATCAGTGCCAAGTGGAATCTATATTTATACATAATGAGGATTTTTATTTAGCATAAACACAAGAAAATATTAAGGTACCAGTGACTGATCATGAAAAATAACTGTCGATTATCACATTAGATGATATTAAATGATTACATAATTTATCATATCTGATCATGGTCTTCTCACTGCATGTTTCTACATAAAAATGTATTTTGCTTTTACAATTAACAAATAATTGGTAAGATTAGAAATCAAAGGGACAATTCAAAGTTTGGATTTTTTTAAAAAATTATCATGAACTCTTTTTAAGTATATAGGTTGAAGCTCTTTCTAAACAAACTGTGATAAAATGTTGACAAAACCAGTCTATTTTCTTGGCAATTATACGTTGAAAGAGGTTTATGTATGTAACAATGCTGTAGCCAAAGAGGTACAGAGAGTCATTCATTAATCATGATCATTTAACTCCTTTCCAATGCCTGGACATGTACATTACTATGTACTCTATATTCTCCATAAACATCAGTTCCCTGACAACATCTTAATCAGTACAAGGCCTAGACGTGTACATTGCTATGTACTATATATGTTCCATAAACATCGGCTCCCCGACAACATCTTAATCAGTACAAGGCCTAGACGTGTACATTACTATGAACTATTGTCAAACTGATCACTGCCCGAGTAATACTTTTTCAGTACCTGGCTGATTTTTAATTGGTGAATGAACTAAATTTTCCTTAGAAGAAATACAATTTTATAGTCAATACAAACCGATCTTAAGCATTTGTATCCATGGTAACCATCCACACATACACATTCCATCATGTTAGGCCCCACATGTTGACACACACTGTTGGTGTTCGGACAGGTTACTGCAACATCACAATAAAATCCCCATTTAATATAAGGAAATACATATGTATACAAAATAAGAATATTTAAAAATCCTAAGGGAATCTACTTATAATAACAACAATTTATTACATTTTGTCTTATGCTTTAGATTTTCTTGAACTTTCTCTTAGGACGGCTTGAAAAGAGACTGAAACATTTTGGCAAGAAATGTAATACACCTGGTCCTGGCACACATTGGGAATATCCTTATACATGCTACAGAATGTTTGATACATTGTTGGAACATATTATATACTATACCATTTTGGAGCTGACAAGTCTGTATCTCCCCTTTACAACGAGTTGTGTCTGTCTTGTGGTCTGGCCCATAAGACTCCCATGCATTAGGTCCCCCTGGGCACCTCAGGTTTGGTTGTAACACTCTGACAAATGATAAAATAACGCTGTAGTCTTAATAGGTTTCCATTGCTGTTTTTAGTATTGTGTTTGTATTATGTCCTGTATGATTCTAAGTACACATGTACCTAATGATATTGATCACATGATAATGTGTATCTTTTTCTATTAACATTCTGGCTGATGATTTTAGATCAGGATATATGCATACAGTACATACATGATCATTCAAAACTTCAGAACGTATAAAGAAAATACATTATAGAGATGATATTTAGATTTGTCAATCAAATTTTGAAACTTTGCAGCGATTTTTTTGAAGTTGACAGTGGCCAATATTGTGAAACTCGAGACACTTTAATAATTCGATAATCCTCTGCACATATTCTCTCCTCAAAACAAAAGGAACTTCCATTTACAGTGGAATTTGACAGTACTTAGACCAGACTTCATTGTCATTAGTATCTGGAGTAAAATCTTGTTTCAGTTTGGTTAGTTTTTCTTATAAATTTAATTATGATATACTGGTTGCTATGGAAGATAAGCACAAGTTGAAATCTGGCAGTGACTTGAAATTAACGCTACCGTTACATTCTCTCGCTAGGTATTCTTCCAACCTTGCTGGAAAGAATTGACTGATAGTATTGCAGACTAGTTTATGGTTTTCTGCAAAGGACATAGGAATAGGTCTGTCAGGCATAGCCTAAAAATGAAGTAAACTCACAGGAGGTCAATTTGTGTGGTTTGATAAAAATCTTCCCTTGTTATGCTCGTCAAATTATTTCCTTGTAGTAATCTGCAAAAAAATGAAAGTGGTAACATTAGTATCATGGATATTCATTCAAGTTGTATAGTCTACTTATAATTACATATCAGAAATGTATACGTACCTGTTGTAGAGTATAACAGGGAAGTGATATTTTCTTAATTTTTATCCTTAATCATTATTTCTATTTATTCCAAAGTTTTTCATTTGAAAAATGCATCTTTGTGATTCTAGATGACTTCCTATTCATGCAGGAATTATCTTGTTTTATGTAACAACTGGCCAAAATGTATCCACTTAAACTTTCTGAGTTATATAAAGTATCAGCTGGCATATATACTTACATAGTGGTTAAGTTAGGGTGATTTGTAAGTTTCTTATCAATAGTCTGAAGGTTACAGTTGGAAAGATCCACCCTAAAAAAAAAGAAAAAAATAATAATTGAAAAATCAAATATTATAGATGTACATGAAAATAAACATTTGATGTATATATCATTATCAATAAATACCTTAAGCTCTGTCAAACATTTTACTGCTCTGCAGCTAAAGGGACAATTCACTGTCGAAATGCTGTTTTCCATGTTAGAGGAAAACTCATGGTGGAGGACCAACATGCCATCTGATCAGACAAGGAAGTATGACAGCAGGCATCTACTTAGAATTGTACTATCATTTATTGGTTTGGCACTCATCAGTCCCAGAATAATAAAAATGTTAATAGAACTCAAAAAGTCATTCATAATAATTCAACAGACATTCGATACATTATCTGTTCCTTGTGCATCTGGATCCCATGCTTTAGGAGATACTGACATAATCTCAGGTTTAATGCACTCATCAGGATTGTTATAAATGTATAAACTGCCAGTCATTATAATCATTAACAAGGATATTAAGGTTCAGATCCTCCACAATGGGATCCCAGTCATCAGTATAATACATCACAGAGGTAAATCTACATATAGAATGTTTAGTGGTAAAAGTTAATGTGAATGATGGAAAGGAAGTGGTGACTGAAGTCTACTGGTAATTCATGAAGTTATTTTTTTAAAAAGTTTCAGAGATATCTTCAGAAAATGCAATGAATTGACTGTATCCAGTGTACCCAATGAAATCCTGAAACTGAAAACACTTCTATAGCAGAAGGTACTACTAGACCATTCACTAGATGTGTGTAGGAAGTTTCCTGACTAATATTGCTCAGAATGGTCTTGGAGATATCTGGAAATGCAGAAATCAGTGATATTGACTATTTGCTTCCATGGTAACCAAAGGATGGGGATACTAATTAGTGATCATGGTTTCTGAATAAGTATTAATGATGAGGTACTCAACAATCGCTTTGTTTCTCTTTTTTCTAATTTTGTATGGTATGTACAGCTGTATATCTACTGTAACAAGTAGTATATGATACTTACTTTGTGATGTATATCACATTCTCAGATGTTATCACACAACATCTCCCTCGTGGTGTGCTGTTCTGACACTCCAGGGAACTTTTCTTTTTACAACTCAATGGGAAACATATCTGAAAACACAATATAATTAATCATGTTGTATTTTTTACTTTTAGTATAAATAACTTCTGTATTTTTATTAAAACAAGCCGACTGCAATCATGCATATGTATGAACGAATTTGCGTGAACAACAGCCAATTCATCAGGTGGTGTAACATGTGAGAGTGAATTCTTTTCACTTGTCTACAATTTGCTTGCAGAACCAAGCTTGACCAGTCCTATGAGGGCCCACCTCTTATTTGCATATGACCCTAATTGGTCAATGTATCTGGTGGATTGATTTTCGTGTAGCCCTTTCATCCTTTCAAATGAATAACTGCAATTATGGACTTGCACAAAGGAACTTGAGTGAAGTTTGATTTGAGGTGAAAGGACTTTTGTATACATTATATTATCATGTTGTATTATCATTATAAGCGGCAAAAAGCTTATCCCTGCTGTTAATGTGATATATGTAAGGGCGAGTACGATTGCATATATTACATGTCATGGCTACATGCAAAGGTTGTTTATAATTCAAAACAAGAACTCGTAACCAAAACAATTTACAATGAAGTCAAGGAATTCAGTTGAACCCTTATACATACATCTTTATGAACGAATGCATGAAGATCTAAATATAGATTTACTCTGCACGTGACTGTCCATTGTGCACTGTTTGGCAGTCTAAAGTTTATAATTATTCATAAAGTAAACAGCGCCTTTGTTTCCATGAGTGTTTTAGGTACAAAATATATTTCATCAGTAGGAGCATCCGGTTTGATTCAGACACAGGCTGTTCAGTTCGAGTCACTTACACTGACTTTCGTATATCACCACTGATCACTCGACACAGCAGAAAATATCCATTCTGTGTTCAGATACTTACATCATCTATACTGGAACCTGATGTTGGTAAGATTGAAATTAAAGTTATCGCAGAAAATATGCAGATGTGGAACAGATATCCCATTGTAAGCGTTAGTTGACAATAATTAGACAGAAAACGGACGACGCGAAGTCAATCGAACAAACGTAAACACCTTAAAGACTTCTGATAAGGGAGCTCACTCTTACTGAATTGATTACGATAGGTAAGACACTACGAACATTAATACGTTAGTGTAAATATATACAAACTTTGACATGACCTGAAAACATAACATTTATTTTAATGATTTATTTACTTTCCATTTTAAGTGCAGTATACATTTTACACATTAGAACTATCAAGGACACAGATGTAGTCTTCCTAAGTCCGTGGTACTATATACACGTAAACGAATCTATCCTCGACAGAATCGTAAGGCTGACACCAGTAATAAATAAGACAAGAAAACATTGATGGGATGCATCAGTTCGCCGGCCAATACTGTCACACTCACAAACAGCAGGTGCAGTTTTTATGTAGTCACAATTATAGAAAACTATTTAAACCCGACTCAAACTGTTTTAGTATTTTCTTTCACATCTCAAGAGAACTATGCCACAAGGGACGTATATAACTATATTATACGTCCCTGGTGATACTGATAATTGAACACAGTTTTTAAAAGGCTGGCGATATATAGAATATTTCAGAATGGTTCAACATGACGATTTAAAACGGAACGGTTTACATATTGCAGCTAGGTTTCGAACCCGGGACCTCTGACTTACTAATTTCGTGCTCAACCGATCGAGCTAAAGAGAAGTTCTCTCTAACCTAGCGGTATTTTCGGATAGTATTTACGAGGGTTACAATATAAACCACACTAAATAATGGAAAAATGATAACAGCACATGCAACCAGATGGCAGTTAATGATCACTATCTTAAAAAGTATATATTTACATCAGATTGGTTAACAGTTCGTTAATGTGGATAATATAGAATATGGAACTATAATTCAGATGTACCCCATGAAGCCCCGTTTGTATCGGATCGTTAGAGGCGACTAATTATAAACTTGAACTATTGTTTAAATGTTTGTATTAAAAATATTCACTGATAATTGATTAAAGTGTTATCAATCAGTTAATATCATATTGACCTCAGCCTAACAATTGGTTTCTATATGTACATGCTGATAGCTGAAATACGGTGAATTACATTAACAATGAATATATTAATAGTTATAATATATGGGTATAAATAGAACTTATAACTCACTTAGTCTTAAATAGTCGTTACTGGAGTCAGGCCTTTGGGCTTCTATGTTCAGATATAAATCCTTCGTTTTAATTATTAACTAGATATATTAGTAAAGTAACTAGATATATTAGTAAAGTGACTAGACATATGAATAAAGTAACTAGATATATTAGTAAAGTAATCTAGATATATATTAGTAATAGTAACTAGATATATTAGTATAGTATCAGTAAAGTAACTAGATATATCATAAAGTAACTAGATATATCAGTAAAGTAAAGTATTAAAAGTAACTAGATATATCTAGTATATCAGTAAAGTAACTAGATATATCAGTAAAGTAACTAGATATATTAGTAAAGTAACTAGATATATTAGTAAAGTAACTAGATATATTAGTAAAGTAACTAGATATATCAGTAAAGTAACTAGATATATCAGTAAAGTAACTAGATATATTAGTATATTAGTAACTACTAGATATATATAGAAAAGTAATTAGTAAAGTAACTAGATATATTAGTAAAGTAACTAGATCTATCAGTAAAAGTAACTAGATATATCAGTAAAGTAACTAGATATATCAGTAAAGTAACTAGACATATCAGTATATTAGTATACTAGATATATCAGTAAAGTAACTATTAGTAAAGATATATATCAGTAGTATATTAGTAAAGTAACTAGATATATCAGTAAAGTAACTAGATATATAAAGTAAAGATATATAGATATATTAGTAAAGTAACTAGATATATATATCAGTAAAGTAACTAGATATATCAGTAAAGTAACTAGATATATCAGTAAAGTAACTAGATATATTAGTAAAGTAACTAGATATATTAGTAAAGTAACTAGATATATTAGTAAAGTAACTAGATATATCTATATCAGTATATTAGTAACTAGATATATTAGTAAAGTAACTAGATATATCAGTATATCAGTAACTAGATATATTAGCAGTATATTAGGAACTAGATATAGCAGTAAAGTATCTAGATATATCAGTAAAGTAACTAGATATATCAGTAAAGTAACTATATATATAATTTGCCCATCTTCTGATACAATGCTTCAAGCACTCCCAGCTCTGTTGCCATAATGGGACATCTTGGTCCTATTTAACACGCATCTGTTACCGATAGTCGTTTTTTTCTCCAGCTCCAACGTCCATAATTTCCTAAGATAATCATTTCGTGGTGCTTGATGATTTAAGTATGGTAATCAGATCTCTTTTTATCGTATCTATTCGGTTTTATCTGCGGTAGATTTGAGTCATTGTTGAGTAGGGATATTGCTGGTAACATATTTCATTTACAAGACAATGCCTTTGAGAACATCAATGGAAACGTCACTCCTTTACTCTCAGGTGATCTCGAACCTCTGAGACAGCCTCTAATCCATCCTCGAATGTCTGTCCTGACTCCGGGTCTCTTTAGATCGAGAACCATGTCGCTTTAAGCTAGAGACTCTTTCGGCAGTTTCGCTGAAATCTAGGTCTGTGTTTCCTGGATCTCTAAACAGTCGGATCATTCTTAAAGGCATCCTCGCAGTTTGGTTGTACAATGATTGAAGGACGCAAAGAATTCTGATGGTTGTTACTTGTAACATACTACTGTGAGATTTTTCTCTGAGTCATTCTTGATAATCGATGTGACATCAGCTATCCAAAAAAATGGAAAATTGGAAATATCTTTTGTTCGTTTGGTTCGGATCTTTTATTCCACCCATGGTTCTTCTGGCCCTTGTATTTACTGAGATTCTCCTACCAAAATGCCTGTTTAGATCTTGTTTTTACTAGAATATCAGTTTGCGTCACTATTGGTGAAGTTGCTTTGTCGGTTGTCAAGACTACGAATACACAGAAACAAAGAAATCTTAAGAACGTTTTATCTTTTGGATTTGTCTGAACTCCCGTTCGGCCTTTTCACAATACTAACAAATAAGCTTTCATTTTTTTACTAGAAAGTTTTGGGGTTTGATTCTTTCTGTGAGCCTCCGTTTAAAATGTCCCCCGATCCCACCAGGCAAGCAATGATTTTGAGAGTCGTTATTTACTCAACAGCTACTAGTGTTTTTTATGTGAAGGTATGCTATGTTACTGTCGCCACCGAGTGCCAGTCCGAATTGGCTAGTTTTGGGAAGCAATGTTTCATGGTATGTGAATCTGCTGAATTGTTGATCATTTATCAATGAATTAACGCCATCCTTAAGACACGTTTTGACATGTCTATATACTTGTGAATTCGCTATTTCGTCATAGGAGAAGCCTCTAACTCCCCTGTGGAAATATGTATGGACTTTTGGTTGTATTTTATTTAACAGTTTACTCATATGGGTTATATTCAGTACTGAATGTCCATCTGGATTCAAAAAACTATATCTAGCTAGGAATTTCAATCAAAAAGTTTCGCATGGAAAAGGAATGGATCACTGAATTACATATCTGTCCATTTCATATGTGGAGTTATGATATGACGAAGGAGAGAACCATTCTTTCACCAGCTGTAACTACTACACCAACCATGACACATGGGATACCAGTATTGTTTCAAGTCACATAGCGTGGGATAATGATACAGAGAATGACGAATTTTGCTTCAAACGTTGAAGAATATGTACATGCTCCTGTAACCTATAGTTGGAGTGTATATACCGTCAGATGCATTACTTTGAAGACTGTATCTCGATATATTTTGAAGAGATTAAAAGTCCCCAGCCATACATAGGCAATGAATTTAAAGCAGAGGTCAATGACTTGTTAGGAATGCTACCATTTGAATATCATTTACACACAAAAGTGTTTAATCATTTTTCCAAGTATCATGGGATCAACAAGAAGAACAGAAAACTAAATAAATAATAGCTATTCGAAAACTGAAACCAGGGTCATGGAAATGGTTTCCCAGAGGTGGGAGTCATACATCAAATTCCATCCATCATACCCCCTCCGTCCTTCCACAATCTTTTCACATCATTGAAATCCGAAGTCAGGTTTAAATTAAATTTGTCAGAATAGCTTGTGAGGTGAAGTAGAAAGAATATTTCATTTGATGCTAAGATTTAATGGAAGTTCGTGATTAATGGATTTTTTCTTTCAAATTGTAATCGAATCCAAAACAAGAGAACCTTCGCAGTTGCGATGTTGCTTTAGAAAGTGACGTTGTAGATATTTTTCAAGATTTTCTCTTGTTCCTATATTTCCTATCATTGTCCTATCGGTGGTTGTTGGACAAGCCAAATTTACAAATATGCATTTAAAAAAATCTTTATCATCATTCCTGACTGACATGACCTAGTCCTTAAGGGTTTTTTATCATCGGATGTTTGGGACACTCGTGGTAGTTACCAGAGATTGCATTGATGGTTGAATGCAGGCTCCCCTTATACATAACAATATTAGATTCAACATGTAACATATATAGGGATGGATTAAAACATATGCCAACACAAAAATCAAAGTCAGGTACTCGGAGAACATGAATTTTTAACAGCGTGTGGTACTCCTACAGGTAAATAAAGGATAGTTTGAAGATAACGGCGGATCTAAAACACTAAGAACTAATGGTTTGTTTGTAATTAACATTCCATCTTGAATAATACGGCGATTAAATTTAAATAATATAGGAAATTAACGATATGAATCAAGATAAATATCAGCAGACGAAGATGGAGTGGTACCTGACCAAATACAATATAAGTTCACACAGGTGTACCTTTAATGCATGATTGTGCTGCTTGGCATGCGATCGGGTATTGTGCCTACGCGTGTTGTTAGCACGTGTATAATGTTGATACGTTTAAAGATCAGTTTACAAGATTTTTGTTTTCAACGAATTCTTGAATTGTAAGCTTGATTTGGCAACTAAAAGATACAATGTTGACATGTTGATGTACGGATGTCAAGTATTGTGTTTCCGATTTACTCGTGGAATGTTATAAAAAAAACATTCTGACGTTATCGATGTAGAACTTTGTCACGTTCTGTACAATAAACAGGACTTCTTCCAACCGTACATTGCTTAAACGTATATGTACTTTGACAAAGATCTATCTGGCTATCAGTAGGAAAGGAGACGTGTTACAGAGATCTATCAGCAGGAAAGGGGACGTGTTACAGAGATCTATCAGTAGGAAAGGGGACGTGTTACAGAGATCTATCAGTAGGAAAGGAGACGTGTTACATATATCTATCAGTAGGAAAGGAGACATGTTACAGAGATCTATCAGCAGGAAAGGAGACGTGTTACAGAGATCTATCAGTAGGAAAGGGGACGTGTTACAGAGATCTATCAGTAGGAAAGGAGACGTGTTACAGAGATCTATCAGTAGGAAAGGAGACGTGTTACAGAGATCTATCGGGCTATTAGTAGGAAAGGAGACGTGTTACAGAGATCTATCAGTAGGAAAGGAGACGTGTTACAGAGATCTATCTGGCTATTAGTAGGAAAGGAGACGTGTTACAGAGATCTATCAGTAGGAAAGGAGACGTATTACAGAGATCTATCTGACTATCAGTAGGAAAGGAGACGTGTTCCAGAGATCTATCAGTAGGAAAGGAGACGTGTTACAGAGATCTATCAGTAGGAAAGGAGACGTGTTACAGAGATCTATCTGGCTATCAGTAGGAAAGGAGACGTGCTACAGAGATCTATCAGTAGGAAAGGAGACGTGTTACAGAGATCTATCAGTAGGAAAGGAGACGTGTTACAGAGATCTATCTGGCTATCAGTAGGAAAGGAGACGTGTTACAGAGATCTATCAGTAGGAAAGGAGACGTGTTACAGAGATCTACCTGGCTATCAGTAGGAAAGGAGACGTGTTACAGAGATCTATCAGTTGGAACGGAGGCTTTTTAAAGAAGTTAATTTTGCTATCAGATGGGGATGACAATTGTAATAAACAAATCTCAGTGATCATGAGTTGAAAAGAAACCTTGTATCAGGTATATCTACCGAAAAGCTTAAAGGCAGAATGTAAAGCAACTCGACAAGAGAAAGTGTTTCAAAGGGAACGTTTTGACTGCTGTATATAAAGGATTGAAACACAGTATGAAGAAAAAGTACTTTATTTCACTTGTCTCTACAACAAGCATATATGAATATACATTTATACACAGTATAAACAAATAGAACACATATATTTCCAGAATTATACAAGATATACACATAACAACAACATCCTGATAATTGGCCCTGCTATGTTACTATTGGGGAGTTATACCTTCCAGTAACAGATCGAATATTTTGAAATAGAGAATGATCGACTCACCTGACCAATGATTTCTGTATGGGATAATAAAATTACCGTGTTCCATGCTTCAAGAAGAAACTGATATTCGTTATGCTATGATTATTGATTTATTGATGATAAATAAGTTTGATACTGTCTTTAATTCATTGGAATGAATTCATTTTTTTTGTAACGGTAATGTAGATTTCCAGAAACCAAGCAATATCAGATTAATTATCATTTAAAACAGAATGGCGTTCGTTCCTACCACCGCAGTGCAATGCAATAATAAATAGACTTTGTGTATTATAAACAAACATAACACATATAGTAATGTTAAACAAAAGAATGCTGATGCATACCAATTTAAGAAAATTCCCTAAATATGAGTTACATGTTGACTAGTTGTTTAACAGCGGTAAGATAACAAGCTGACGAAACGTGGAAAGCACATGCTATGTGCATTTGTTTTAATCTTTGCACAAGTAATGCTTTTGCCTAAAACGCTTAAACTATGCTATACTTCACTTACTTCCAAAGTTGCTTGATATGTTATTTACTCTTGGTTAGGTATGCATTTTGACATGCCTTGGGGATACATTGTTTTTGGCTTGAAATTTTGCTGGAGCACATTGCTGCATCATAGCTTATGTCATAAATCACAGCGTAACCATAGTTACAGGTATAGCTAACTACAATGATTACAATTTAATCTTAGTACAATAGCATGGTCTTATATATGTAACTCAAAGTTCACTCCGAAACCATGACCATAGATATCACTCACTGCGAAACCATAGCTTTATATATACATAGTTCACTATAAATTCATTTATAGCTAAGTTCACTCTGAAACCATAGTTGTAGATATAGCTCAATGCTAATAAGCACGAGTTTAGATTTAGCTCAATGCTAATAAGCACGAGTTTATATTTAGCTCAATGCGAATAAGCACGAGTTAAGATATAGCTCAATGTGAATAAGCACGAGTTAAGATATAGCTCAATGCGAATAAGCACGAGTTTAGATATAGCTCAATGCTAACAAGCACGAGTTTAGTTATAGCTCAATGGAAATAAGCACGAGTTTAGATTTAGCTCAATGCGAATAAGCTTGAGTTTAGATATAACTCAATGCGACAACATTATTGTAAAACATAATGCGACATCACCGTTGTCAATGAGTCCTTTGCTGCTACATGTTGGTAACTGTAAGTGACAAGAAAAAAAGCTGACAATATTTTCTCATAAAGTTGTTCATAGGTAATGGCATTTTGCTTTAATATATATGACAGATAATGATAAATATTTAAGATCTTCATTACAAGTAGCAATGCTATGAGATAGAGACAACATCGATGGTGATATACGTACTGTTCTGAAGAACATTGATAACAACATTTGATATAACGTGCATATTTACATTGAACAGACTCGTCTTTTGCAGGACAAATTACTGGAGAAAAGGTAATTTTCAAACCATTCGTCAATGATGTTTAAAACCACTTAGATATTTTATATAAATCCGCGGGACGAAATTCGAAATATATGATAGAGTTCACGGATATAATTTTCAGTTTTCCAGAAAATAACAACATAACATTATTTCAGTCGATTTAAATATTTATGAATAGGAGAAATGTGAAAAACCCTCAAACAAACACAGGAAGAGGTCAACAACACTTGTTCCCTGTTATACCCAGACAAGGGACGGTCTTTAGCCACTTATATGTGTGTGACATTAACAGTGGACAATGATTTTGACCGATGCTCTATGTATTTATAATATAAGGAGAGTTATGGTGAAAATCTTCCTGAATCGATATTGATCTAGATCTCTGATCGCTCATGCTATATGTGAACATTTCCAAATTAGTTTAATGGTTAAAGGTCAGACTGTCAGATAGTTGGAAGGAGTGTGGCGATGAAATTCCATTTTTTTTATGAAAACGATTTTGATCCGTTATGCATACATACAAAATTTTCCACCAGTTGTCTGAAAGAAATCAATTTGTTGGTTTTTTTTTAATTCAAATTTTTTCCTAGCAGGGTTATGATCAATTTGTTCAACAATTTGATGATCAGAATCGCTGAAGTATATATTTTTTTTTTATAATTTACAGTTGTATTACAGAAAACTAAAAACAGTAAAGAAAACAGCAGCAGATAAAAAATTAATTGAGAAAAAATTTCTACCCTTTTTTTAACAATATCGACACACAGATAATAAACAACAATAACCAGAGTCGCCAAAGAGGAGACATTGGTGTTGATGTTTACTTATATTTGACAAAAAATTTGGAAAAATTCTAGATGAAACGACGCCATGTCATCTTTTCTTTTAAACGTTGATCTGGGAATTTCATTTTGAAATCTGGAGACATTTTTATTTGTTAGAAAGAAAAGATGAAAAAACTAATGAATTAATAATTAAGAAAAACATGAAAAATAAACATAAATTAATCTGCATCTTGTGTTCGTTGATACAGCTAAACGAGTAATATACAATTATAAATATTTGTATAATGAAATATGACTTATTAACTGTACAGGTAAATTAACGAATTGTTACAAATATATTTTGTATTGATATACATGATAACGTATTGTACATATACAGGTAAAAACCACAACCTATCAATACATATAAAATTATAACTAAATTACAAATAACATAACACAATTAAAGATAAATACATTTCCGTTGATAACCTTGAATTTCAAACTGTTAACAACATACACATAAACTTGTTCAGTTTAGTAGAATTCTGCTATACATGATCAATACCCAGTTAGAAAGTGGTAAAAAACTAATTGTTATATAATATAAAAATGCGAATGAAAAAATGACTGCCAAACGAAATTAAGAACATTTTGAAGCATTAACATAAACTCAGTTTTTGCAAAAATTTTGATAAAATCAGTTGATATTACGTATATGGTTTCATTTTCTGAAGCCTATGGCTAAAATAATTCATAGTGTTATGACAAATGTCTTGGATGTGACATTCCAACACTATTGCGTAAACTACTAAAGTTAGACACTTCTGATTCTGAAAGTTATTGTATTGATGCTAATGATACTGTAGCTTGTGTTAACATGATATTTTCTAATTGTCTATTGTTCTTAGTTTTCCAGTCTCCGGCAAATAAAATAGGTGCATTACACGAGTCATAACACTCGTATCCGTAACGGAGTATCAACATAGGTAGACCGATACCATCGATCTGTCTCGATGTTAAAGCTGATCGCCATATCTACTGGCATTACGTCTGGGTCGTATATACTGTTACAGCGACAGACAGACATCTCGGACAATGATGGACCGGACATAACTGGTCAGTTTCCAGTAAGAGTCCAACGCTTTATTGCTTTCCGAGACAGTCTCTGGCAAATTGATGAATACGCATGGTGCACTTGTGCCATTTTGCAGCACCCTATTTTCAATAATTGAATTTCATGTATTTTATGAAGGTGGAAATATATAAAAATATTCAACAGTACAAAGCCATGTGAATCATCAGCTGTCTAGTCCACGCCCCACACACCACACAGATAATAGTAAGGATATTGACAGGAGGACGTAGTCTACATATAAGGACAAGCCACTGGCGGAACAGATACAGCCAGACTTGTCCATCTGAGGTAGAAATGTGTTCCAAAATGCCATTTTTCTAGGCTTGAAGTTGGGGTGGGCTTGGATGTTCAGTTTCTCTTCGTCCAAGAGTAGACGATTAATGGAGCGCGTTGACGTGTTGTAGATAAGGTACGGTGTCTCTCCGTCCAGGGTCAGGAATCTAAACAATAAAACAATATAATCAATATCACTGAGCACCTTTTGTCAAGGATGTAAAGCTGCTTGTCTGCCATTTCGATACCTCTGGTTAATTCTGTTTTACAGTAACACAAGGTTGGAGTGGTCACACAAGGTGTATCAAAATTTATCAAGAGAGTTACATAGTTTGGCAATTCTTCAAATTTAAATAAATTTAAAAGGCTACTGAAACATAAAATAAATAAAGTAAATCTAAATGTGTTTTATTTCTTTAATGTAGAATTAATCATCAATAAAATGATGGCTGTGTGCAGGTCTGGGGTTAAAGCTAGGTACATGACGACATAAGGAATCAAAACATCACAGGAAAGTCTCTAGTACAATTAATATCACTTGTGTCAGCATCACCACAATGGTTAGAGTCTGAATGTATAACAACCAAATTGTGGAAAGTTTGAGGCGACGTTCTGCAAGCTAAGCTATCTTTAAGATTGCAAATGGTAGATACTGCTGTGGACCAAGTGCCACGTTTTAATTCATTCGCAAAATTCGCAATAAAAACATGAAAAACCTTTTTTTTTGAGATTATTTAAGAATTTGTTGAAGAGTACAACTCCACTTGTAGAATTAAATACTTTTTTCGGTCAACTTGGATTCCTCAGGCGCTTTCTATGTTACAAAATATAGGCATTTATTATCACTGACAAATCCTAGAAGGACTGTATAATTTATCATTTGGATTTAATTAATTAAATCTGGCGGCCAGGCTTTGTCAGACATGAGTGGTATACCTTCTACAAAGCCAATCCCACTAAAGAGCTCCATAGTCCACAGGTCTATCGCACTAACACATCTAGTCTGAATAATTTGTTGTCATATTGAATAACTAACAATATCCTCAATAATCGAAACCTTGTGCTATTTAACAATGGGAGCATTTTATAGGAGTAATGATAACATTAACGTATAGATAGGTGAGTAATGAATCTCCTTCCTACTTCACAGGAGAAATATACAAACATGCAACCGCGATGGGAAATAGAAAATAATTAAATGCATGCACATGTAGGTATTTCTTCAGAACAATTATCGTTTATTGTAACATAGTGCAAATTGTATCCTTCCAGTGATAATAGGACTTTAAGATATTTTCGACAACACGTTCTATCCTGCAGTTTACAAAGGGACATGGTCATAATTATCATAAACAATATGAAACAAAAGGAAAACGTGAAATTACCACAATAAGGCTAGCTTTTATCTCATTGCCAGATAAAACCAATTCACGTCAGGTAGTTTATATATGAGAGTTATATCCCCTTTCTTTGTTGATGTTGATTCGTTGACTAGACGTCAGTTACAGCGAGATAGTCGTAAACATATTTTGGTTACTGTTAAGAAATCTTTACGCTACAAGAAGGCGAATCTTCCATTTCTTTACAGTGTAAATTTATTTAAAGTGTTTTATCTACAAGATCTCAATCACTGAAATCCGTTGTTCTCATAATGTGTAAATGAAGGAAACTGTTTGCACGAATCATGCCAAAATTTAAGCATTGTTCACTGTTTAGAAGTCAGATTTGACAGTGAGATATATTACTACAGGCTTATTATCTCTCTATTGGAGATCGTATGAATGAAACAATGTTAGCGAACACTTATTGGGCACATCGGTAAGTCCACAAAGAATACTTGCAGAGTATCTCTTAAGAATTCTTTATAGATATAAATCAGTTTAAACCAGATTAGGTTACAATTCCTTGACACGTGACCTTTTTCCGTCGATATCAAAGGAGCAATCACTTTTTATAAGGCCATCTAACAGCATGACTTCGCTGACCTTTGACCTGTAAATGCTTCATACCACATTTTGGTAATTTTTTTGAAACAATATCCCTTCCATCGAGTCACGCACCTCTTCCTCACAGAAGCCAAATATTTCATTCATAACACCAAAGCCTTTTATCTCAAGGATGTGGTGTCTTATCGACATACAATGTATATTACATTGCATAATTTCTCAACACTTTGTAATATATGAGCTTAAATCAAGAAGTGAATTAATACGAAAACCTAGAGAATGGGATGACTTGCCGTTTTCGTAGAAACATACGATATATGCATAAGTTTGCAATTAAAATGCATAAATTGGAAATAAACACTTGTTTTGTCAAGAAATTCCAACTTGGGTGTTTTGAGGGGCAAACACTTATCATTTACTGAGTTAAAGGACATGGATATTGAAATTACTGAACATGAACCGTAAGCGAGTATTTCCGTAAGGTGATCAAATATCGATATATAAACACGATAGAAGGAAGACTGACCAATTTCAGCCAAATCAATATATTTTTTAGATATGTGGGCGGGTTTTGCAGAATATTTATGAAAAAAAATCATTTCTACACACCCATGTTTTACGAAGTTACTCCATAGAGTCATCACGGTGCGACTGGCCTGTTTGTCCGTCTCGCTATACGTGTAAAGGGGGTGTCCGACTAATGGAGCTCCGAATATGTAAAACAAGTCTCGGCCATGCGGAACACCTGTTGATAAACAATACAGTAAAACAGCAAAATATATTTGATTCATTTTGAACGGTACAGATGACTAATAAGTTACGTTACAATATGTTTTTGGTCATTAGACTTGTTGTATTTTCGAGGTGAAGTCTAGTGAAGAGTAGAAAAACTACGACAGGCAATACATTGCAGAGCGATCATGAACATCCATATAAGTTTATCAGGCAACCTAGATGGCGAGTGGATATGTTTTGGTACAATATGAACATTAACTTTATTTTTGATTTACAATTTTTTTTGGTAATAATTGAAGAAAATGATATATTATGAACTAAATGACTTCAATATATAACCATACTTTAACACATATACAAATATGTATTTGAAAAAAAGAGTTTTTACACATCGCTAACGGACTCGGGTAAAACATTTAACCATTTAGAAAACATGCTAATGTACGGCATAAACAAAACAGTCGTCTACAAAATGTTAGCGAACATTAATAGCACCGACCTCAGCTCGGATAATTTCAAATGATAACTTTGTGGCGTCATTCTAAAACGTTAATATACTGACATTGTAACGTTACTGTGGTCTGTTGGTGGCATTCAGTAATAATGCTGGTATAATATCATACCCTTCCATTTTGGTCCTGGTGCAAGATGAGATGTGTGCTCAAATCGGAATAGAAACAAGCGTCTCGTCCATTCTGCCATCATGTTGGCCATGTTAATCATTGGGGCGACAAAAACCAGATCACTCTCCATCTAAAAGGAGGACATATCGATTTATTAAAATCACTAACCATATACTTTGTTGCAACACCTCTATAAATCAAAAACATTGATTTAGAAAATAGCGTTGTCTCTAGCTTCTGTAAGATTCCATGACAGATACGTCCTCCAAGTAATGTACCTTAACCAGTGATTGCCACTAACAGTGTTTAGATTTTTCCGTACAGACAGCAGATAAGACAAATGCAGTCAGTAGCTTATAGAATGGTTTGGAACTGTTGAAAAAACACCAAGAAAAAACTAACATGTACATAATCATTATACAAACTAAAATTCCGTAAAACAATGGCAAGATATGTTCAAGTGAAAGATTTATACGAAGACTCTGGAAAAGTACGAAGGGAATAAGACCAGATGTTTCGAAGAGCAAGCGTCTTCTATTTCATCGACGACACCTGCCATGTAAATCTTGATCAATCCAATTAAGTAACGTCACGTTTTCAAATGATAACAACAATAACAGACAAACTAACGAGCATCAAACACCAGTAGCTTCATATCACACAAAGAAACAGAATATTTCACAATGAAATCACTATGACGACCATGATTTTCATCAACCTGCATCTTTTGAAATCCTGTGTTACGAGTTCGCCAGTTTTCCCACCGAGAGAAAAATGACATTTCTGTTTCTGGAATCGGTGCTTTCTGTGAAAAGTCAGCATTTCTGATAAAAACTGGTGACATCTTCGCTTGACACATGTTTTATGAATGATTTACTTATCAAGACGACCAACTAAATAGATACCTATGTAACCAGTATACCAATGACGCAAGACCGAAAAATCTGATTGCCTACCATTCTGTGTCTTTATAACAACAATGAAACATAACAACGCATTTCACTACATAAATAAACTTTTCAAGTTATATATATCATCATTATTTTATAAATCTGATACAAAGTAAACAGTAAAATCATGGAAAACTCATTGTCGTTGAATTTCTGCATCATATGGTAAATGTAATGCAGTTAGCTACTACAGTTAGCTACAGAAGAGTTTGAGGTGGCAGAATAGATCAAAGGTCAAATAAAAAGGACGCTTTCACTTGACCAGGGTCAATTTAGTATAACAAATATCAAAGAATTATATTACATTGTGGTACAGTGTTAATTTCATTTCAATATATTTTTCCCCAAAATTACGACCCGTCTCTCCAAAATATCAGAAAGTAGTTTCAGTAATTGCAGACGCTTAAAACAAAAGGAAATGTGAAAATTTGACATGACCAAGACTACTTGAGAACTGTGGATGTGAAGATAAATATATATTGCGCTACAAAGTGTAATCAATCACAGAGTCTATAATAGTCTACCTGTCCATTTTACAAAACGTTTTATCAAGGAATTACACTACTGTCCTGGTTTTATTTATGTAAGCCATATTGTCTTTTCTAATGAAAAAAATTCTGAATTTATTCCAAATCTTTTGTTCATTTGAACTCTCTCCGACAAACTTTGGTGAAATATTTACTCCTTGAACATAATTAACATTCAGTATTTCAGCATTACGTTCACCCTTTCGTTATTCTACCTGTTCTAAATATCGGGTTTTACCTTGATTCATGTGTCTTGTTAATCAGAACACAAACTTTCAGTGGAGATAAAATGTTCTGTTAATTTACTTGAGTAGATTTGATCTGTCATAAAAGTGTCTCAAATTCCAATCGATTTATCAATTTCCATTAAAAACCAATAGGTGTACCAATACAAGATCTAACTATCTAACTAAATTATTTTCCAGCAGAACGTTTCAGTACATGGTTTTATGGAGGGATTAGGGACTGCTGGTACGACTCCTTCATAGCTTTGGTGACTCCGCTGATCCAGTCTTATTCAAGCAAAACTCGAGTCAGACATTCTGATACAAATTGTATACCCGATAGTACAATATCCATTTTACCTAATTTCTACATATGATTGACCATTTTCTCCAACCTCTTGCATATTAAGTAAACATATTGTTGATAAAACAACAACAATGCTGAATATAGCACTATATCGAGGTCGCATACACATGGGCTGAAGCCATATTTAGTATGATGAAATTAAATTACGATATACAATAGGTATACCTAACCTTCTGTATAGTTACAAAGTCGTGTTTTATTCTTTTCCTGTACCATTTCAACAAGAGGTTGAATTATTATTTTTCTCTCACCCTGCTGGCTAGTCTCATAACGTATGTGTTTTTGTTGTCCCACTGTTTCGCTTTGTAGACGTGACGTCCAAGATACAAAAGAAATTGTTCTTGTCATGTCATTTTAATACTCTGACAGGGAAATCCTTAATCTCGAACCAAAGGTGAGACAAAGAAATCTAACACCGAATAAACTTCATGGATAAACCTGTCCAGAGTGAGAGACACGTGTGTTCTACATAAATATGCAAAGGCTGGAGATCCATTTAATGCGTCTATTGGTGTAATAAGCATCCAACTTAAACGGATTTTACTTCCAATGCAAACGTTCTGTGTCCATTACCAACTGCATTGGTCTGTAAAATGTTAAACAAAGGAAAAGCAGATAGACAAAGGATCAAGCATAATTATTACACATTTATACGTCGACAATAGTAGCGTGCAAAATCAGTGATGATCTGTTGTGTAAGAATTGAATTGGCGTCAGTTGGTTAATTTTCTAGTAGGATATCATCACTTTCATCTACTGGTATCATGGATAGCTCCCCATACCATTCCCATTTCTTGACGTATCGTTGATTAGATCTGAAGACGTCGAAGGCCTTGCTTTGATGTGAAGTGTCAGTTTAGAAGTAAATACCAGAGAGCTTCCGTATAATCTCCGTGAAATGATACCGCATCACTTCCCCTTGAACATTGTGATAACACGTTCACACGTATTCAAGATCCAAATGGCTTCCACCATGTTATGAACACTTAATAATTGCACATGCGGCTATTCCAACGGATGGTTGTGTTCCTATCTGTCAGTCCTAATGAGGTGGTAGAATTTTATAGTAAGCCCAATGTGAAATTTATTATGATTTTATATTAGTCAAAGTGACGACATACCAGCCATCGAGGTAATGGTGTCAATTCTATTAACCCCCTGATTATATTATCTAAAACGACAGGAAATCTTAATAAAATATGTCCAAAAATTTCATTTCAAAAAAGAGATTACGAGTTCTTTTATTAAAGAACAATTCACAAAGCTTACTCTATCATCTAACTAACGTAATACATTTTTTAGATATGCGTTTACTTTGAATAGCATTAAAAGCGATAAGGTCACACATCTGAATCTCAAGTATTCGAGAAGTTCTCACAGAAGCAAGAAGACATAGATTCATTATAACAGTTAAGCAAATACAGGACAAATATAGTTCTGACCACACTTCTAATAGATGTGTTTACCTAGACTTTAATTAGTCGTTATACAATACAAAACAGTACCTCGATAAAGTTGAGAAGGGACTCATTCTCTCGGCGGAGGTAGTTCCAGTTAGAGTACTCATGCAGGATCAATTCTGCAACAAATAGTTCGGCACTTTTATAAAATCATTAAAATGTCGGCTGAGAGCTCAGGCATCTTACCACTGGAACATTTTCTATATTAAATGTTAAGATAAATGTCAAATTAACGTTATCCAGGAAACTGGTTATTTCCGTTGTAGAGGCTAGAAGAAAGGAGCTTCTTGTTAATGCATCCCCTGTTAAAAATTGATGATATCGGTAACGCCCTATGTTAAATGAAGAAAAAACACCAAAAAAAAATCTCAAGTACTATTCAAAGTTTGAAAATAGCGAGACAGTTTCAAGGAGAAATGGAAATTACATTGTTTTGTACCTGTAAGGCCACAAACGTTAGGAAATGCTGATTTGTAAAGCTGTAACACTTTCTTAAACATTTCTTTTGAAAATTCCTCCTTTTTATCATACTGGTCCAGAAGTACTTGAGCTGAAAATGAAAAACCGACAAAATTAATTCATCTAGAAACCGACGGCATTGATGAAGTTCATCGATAAATGAACCGCATGGGGCATAAGTAAATATATAAACGGATGAAATATCGTAGTTCAGGAATGCTGAAGTTACACAAGACACAAGTGTATATAGAAGCTATTGTACTATCGAAGGTGGTTTAAAGAAAAGTTACATAAGGCACACGTAAACATGGAATATTTTGAATGTCGAAGGCCAGATAAAGAAAAAAAACTCGAGAAACAAGTTTATGTATATGTAGAATGAGGTGAAATGTCGAAGATCAAGCATAAGTAAAGGACATCGTTGGTCGTGTATTCTAAAAAGTTGCTTTGAGAGTATGGAGCGGAGCTTTGAAATATTAATAATACATACTTTGATGGTAACCAGTAATCAGATATATTTAAAAGGTGGATTTTTAACAATTGAATTGACAAACTGTTAAACAATTTTCTTGTCGGAGCCCCTTCGCAAATTAGGTTGGGAAACATATTTAACTTTAAGCAAAAATAGCTTGTGATGTAATCATTGCCTGAACACATCAAAGGAAGTACGAAATTGTACAGGCAAACACTAGAGGATCCCTCTAACAAATCTTGGATGATTAATTTGAGATTTGCGATAAGATGTAACCGCTTCAACGACGTGTAAGACCACCAGACTCTAGCCTAGATCATTGCATGTAATGCTTCATTTTAAAACAAAATCTATTTGTCTACCATGTTCTGAACCCTCATCTCTGGTGAAAGACATCAGATAGGCCTCGCCATGGAATCTGCCTGTCTGGAACGTCATTTCCGGTCTCTCCTTTAGATAGTAACCATCAACGACGGCGGGAAAGGTTATCAGGTTACTTGCTGTCGTCTGTAAGGAAACTAGAAATTAGTTTAAACCAAATCTAAATGTCTTAGTCCTCTCATATCCAAAAGAGTATAATCCCTTTGGTGATATCAACGCACGGAGTCATGATGTAAATACAACGGATCAGTGTGTACCGGAAACATGAGCGTGGCGGTTTCATCGTATATAGGTGTAGCTGATAAATGACTTAGCAATTAATTTTTTTTAAAAAATCAATTTACATCGGATATCATAGACGAGGCCAAAACAAAAATTGTCATACGTAAAATATCGTAATATCAACCTAGCCTATGTGTTATGATCGGCTATCACCTCTCAAGCGATTACAACCAAAAACTCGTTGCTGACAGCGTGTTTGTAATTTGATATAAGCAAACCCATCCGTCTTTATCATATCGATCTAAATGTCTTAGTGAACCGGTTGTTTTTAATACAATTGTCGAAGAAAGCCGAAAACTTCTTTTTAATAAAAGCAATTCTGTGTTGCATTATAAGAACGAAAGCTTCCACTTGAGATCACTAACTGTACAAAGGAATGCTAGAGGTACCTACAATGACTTAGAGTACAGAGGAACGCTAAAGGTACCTACAATGACTTAGAGTACAGAGGAACGCTAGAGGTACTTACAATGACTTAGAGTACAGAGGAACGCAACGCTAGAGGTACCTACAATGACTTAGAGTACAGAGGAACGCTAGAGGTACCTACAATGACTTAGAGTACAGAGGAACGCTAGAGGTACCTACAATGACTTAGAGTACAGAGGAACGCTAGAGGTACCTACAATGACTTAGAGTACAGAGGAACGCTAGAGGTACCTACAATGACTTAGAGTACAGAGGAACGCTAGAGGTACCTACAATGACTTAGAGTACAGAGGAACGCTAGAGGTACCTACAATGACTTAGAGTACAGAGGAACGCTAGAGGTACCTACAATGACTTAGAGTACAGAGGAACGCTAGAGGTACTTACAATGACTTAGAGTACAGAGGAACGCTAGAGGTACCTACAATGACTTAGAGTACAGAGGAACGCTAGAGGTACCTACAATGACTTAGAGTACAGAGGAACGCTAGAGGTACCTACAATGACTTAGAGTACAGAGGAACGCTAGAGGTACCTACAATGACTTAGAGTACAGAGGAACGCTAAAAGAATCATATTGAATATTACACCAGGTAAAAATTTGGAAATGTTATTATTTCCGTATATTATTTTAGGCCAAACTCGACTTATCTGTTTAACTTCCATATCTTATCAGATTAAACCGCTTGTTGCATTTCCATAAACATGAATATTTTCAATTTGGAGCAAATTTATATCTTAACTGTGCCATGATTTAAAGACTAAAATCAAGTGTGAAATATTGATAGAATAAATGAGTAAATATTTACCCTTCCTGGTATAAACCTGATCTGGCTCATGGGCAGCTCCTTCAGGAACTGTTTATAGTCTACGGAGTTGGAGCCCGAGGGACACCAGTAATCCTGACAAGTCAGATTTACATTGTATCCCTTTTTCCAGGAAGATTTCGCCATGGCCCAGAAAGCCAAAGGTGATCCGCTCTGTATGACGGCATACTGGAATAAACCTATAAAATGATACGATTGTTGAATGTGTTTGAAGAAAATGTCCTAATTTGTCTAATTTACCCGTCATTTACAAAAAATGATTTTGATTCATATAGCAAATGTCTCAGGTAAATATGGCGGCAAATTGACATTAATCAAAACAATCCGTAATTTTCGTTTTTGTGTTTTGTTTTATGTGTATGCTGTTGTTTCGTTATCAGTAACACATTTTTGTCGTTATGATCGGGGTCACTGCCGATATATAGAGTATTACTACAGTTACCATATTTCTACTTGAAAGTACCTTTAGTAAGAGGAGAAATTAAATGGAATCCTACATCCGCTGCGCCTGCGCTGTGACCATCTATCGTCACGCGTTTAGGATCACCGCCAAAAAAATGGATGTTGCCATTGACCCATCTCATGGCTGCCACCTGGTCGAGGAACCCATAGTTTCCCTCTAAACCTTCCTCCTTCGCACCAAAGAAGCCTGAAGGTCAACGCAGAATGGAAATTAACAGTTCCAACCGTTCCACTGGCGTTACAATGTAAATACAAATGAGAAACCTGTCACTGTCAGAGGTGTCACCGTCAGAGGGCGCTACAATAAAGCCACACATCCGAAACACTGATAGTGCCATTGTCTACTGTTTGTTAAAAAGGATATTGCAATCTCGAGCTGTCATCCTTTAGGGGTGTTCTATTGTTGACTCGTCTCCGCGAAAGGACATTGCATAATACTTTGATTATGTGTAAGTTCGGGATTGTGTATTCAGATTTATTGTGCGTCATTCGCTGCAGATTAAAAAGACTTGTGTGTTGTAAAATACAATGGCGATGTCGTGGGTGATTAGCTCTAGGTGACAGAGATATGATATGGTAGTCATAACCAAGGTTTAACTCGTCAATCGGTACAAACATGGAATATATCAAATATTTTAAATGAGTTCTTCTTGTTCCTTTCCAGACCTCGGAAATATACTGTTGCATAGGTGATCAGTCGATATGTATACAATTCAATGTTGAGAATAGAATATCATTGTGTTAATATATACCAAGTATTTGAGTTGTCTGGCGATATGTAAGCAACAAGTCAAGAAAATACCAACATGTCAACATAATCATAATCCGACCTGAAATTCCATGAAAAAAGAGGGAAAATTATGAACGAAAGAAAGGTTTACACAGAGAGTCATACCAAAGTACAAGGAGAATAAGACAAGGTGTTCCGGAAGAGTAAGCGTCTTCTTAAGACACAGTCCAAACCAAAATTTCATACTAGAACTGTGTTTCGTCATCACATTGCCTACCACTTAACAAACCGTTTTACGTACAATATGAAATACCTCTCGTAATAAAAATCACTTCGATTATATCTATCAGAAGTTCGCTGCAGCTTAGACCTAAGTTTTAACTGAACGTCGTGATTTCTGATATTTCGAGAAAATGTAGTTATTAAGTGTTGCTATTTACCGAAGGCCCCGAGTCTGTAGTTGAAATTGATGACGATGATGTCCCCGAATCCTGCCAGAATATCCCCGTCAAACATGCCACCCATTCCGACTTCATTGGACCCACCGTGGATGTACAGCAACACCGGAAGTGGATTATTTGTAGACGTATTCTGAAGCACATAATTAGATAAATTATGGACACATGAATATCCAATCCATTTATATTATATCAATTTTACAGCCAGTCGTTATAAAACTGCGTTGTTTGCCACATCAATATTCCAAAAGCCGGTGTATTATATCTATAATATTATCAACAGTGAGATAACTCTCCATAGTAACTTAGTGGGGAAATTATGTCCCGAACTTTATTCTGAGGGTGATATCGGTTTACTGATGTTTACAATGTAGAAACAAACGTGATAAAAAAAACACAATATCACCATGCGACTGTCATAACTCCTTTATAAAAATATTCCAGAATTGGAAAAAAAATAAACTGAACATCGTTTGAGATTTTCTGTAAAACAACGCTTTGTAATATTTGATGTGTCAATAAAAAGAGCGCATCTGAGACATAAATTAATATATTCCAATGATATTCAAACTCGATAGTTCACATTAATACAAATCCGAAATACGATGTGAAAAATGATAACTCAGCACTATCGATGATACAGAAATAAAACTCCTTCATCAGCTGTGTTCTGCACAGTTGATAATTTGTTAATTTTGACTGGCAACCAGTATTTTTTTACAAGCACATTCCAAAATTTTCTTTTTTTATTTTTAGTCATTTCTAAATTCCAGGAGATCAACAGTTGAGTATTTGAATTTTTTCCTTTATCTCAACGCTGCGATAAATTCTCGAAAGCGTTTTGTGAATGGGTCGGAATGTGGCCTAATCGCTTCTGTAATTTCATTAGAGTATATCCCAGGATAGTTTGGTCTCAATCAGCATGTGCCTCGCAACCCTGATCTTCTCACAGATAGTTATGCAATCAAATTTGTTATCGTGCCAAATAATTTCACATATTTCATGAATGGATATCTTAATACCTAGAGAGAAGTTAAAATGTGAAATAAATTTCCAATTGACTAGGTACAAAACATAAACATGCCAAGAAGTTCAGAGACATCCAATGCACCAATCACGCCTCCAAACAGGAGAGCTCCAAAAATAGGACGGACCACAGAGTCTGCTCAGTAGGCCTATAGGGAGTATGATAGTGTCTCCATGGTTAATCGGACACGACGGGAGGCAGTCGGAGGTTTGACGGCTTTCGGTAATTGATATCGTTTATTATGTCATTAAATATCTGAATGCCGGGATCAGCTTTAGTTGCAATATTCTTGTATTTAATTTTTAAGTCCGTGGTTTATCGTGTGAAGTCTGCATTTCATTTCCTTCGCTTTGACCTCGCTCCATCACTTTAGACGTTTATGTGGTATGTTGGATATAACGAACTAGAGATTGATACAGCATCTCACTGTGAAGTTAATGACATAGAGAATCTCACAGATTATCTCGAATGCAGTTTACAACATCTAACATATTTGTCTTATACTCTTCTATATTGGTTTCTCTACTGTCAGTGCAACAAACTCATTTTTGAGAAGAAAAAAAGACAATGAATTAAAATAAAATTTCAAATCGATTGGTATTTTAAGTTCTTGATTAATTTATGATCTAAATTATAAAAAAGTCAATATATCTACATGATACCAGGTCAACGTGTTCGCTCTAGTAACAACATGGGGTTGTTTCTCTGTCGAGAAGTTGCCGATAAATTTGGAATCCTTTCAAGTTTTCGTAATTATGGTCGTTGTTGAGCCAATCTCGTACTTTCTTTTATCATTTGAATGACATGGTACCATATTCACTACATCAGCATTACGAACATATACATAAATTACTTCAATCTCGGTCACATAAATCACGTTCGTCAACTTCGGTTAATGCAAAACTCTTTCAGGTTGATAAACTAATTATCAACCTCCAGAAATCCGTTTGTATACTTTGTAAAGAAACTGTATATATATGATCAAGATTTTACTGGTCATAATGTTTCCCATCAACATAAATTGTATATGATGTCTTTGATATCGAACCATCTCAAACACATTACATCATTATATAAAGCATTCTTGAATGAAATATCTTAGTCCACTGTTTTATACTGTACCGGCAAATATTACCATTGTCTTATATCAATAGTATTCACAAACGCGTCTCACATATGTAAACTTCAAACTCGGTTAATATCAAACTTTTCTATGCACAGTTGTCAGCAAATAGGCTTTAACTATATGAAACATAGAGTAAATCCATGTGTTTCCTTTTAACCTACACTCTGTTCAAGGGAAGATACATTTCTACGTTATTAAAGACCTTGAGAAAACTAGACCGAATGTTCAGACACACTCCTGTCCTTGACGTCATGCGTAAAGATGATTTAATCGACGCACTTCAGCACCAGATAAAAAGTGTGATTAATATGTTTTTCTCTTGACATTAAAACTAGCCCGAGGAAGAAATACAAGAATACCTATTGTATTGCTATAAATGCGCTCGCCACGGAGTATGATCATCCTTGGTACTTCAGTGACATTAAATCATTTCTGATGTCCCGTTTGGAGAGTAGTTCCTGATTCGTTCACCGATGCATATACTGCGGATGAATTTGATAGGCGTGAGTGATGCGGCTCATTTCCTCTGTTTTCTTTTTTCATTTGCGAACTTATATTACATCATATCGGCTGTTTCAAAGGTCTGTTGGATATGTTTGAGTCAAGCATCCCGATCCTTATCAACGACACTACCATTGAGAATCTCTCATTAAACTTTGCTAAAGTAAGAGGACGCTGCTGACTTGATTGGAAATGTGACACCGTCAGTTTGAATAGATTCAGGTGCTGGTATTTTCTGGTTTTGCTGAGATGAACAATATGCAGCGCCATGATAGTGGTCTATCATTCTTCAGGAGGTCTGCCCTGTTCGAGCCACATGGACTTGTGATCGGTTAAAGCATCTCTCTAATGAACATAATCCAAACCTTGAGCGTCGGCGCCCGAAGACAAGGTGAACAGGTTCCTTCCAGATCGAGTGTGCAGGTTCTGACCAGGTTTAGTGTGCAGATTCTGACCAGGTTTAGTGTGCAGATTCTGACCAGGTTTAGTGTGCAGACTCCCATCTGATCGAGTGTGCAGGTTCCCCCCAGATCTAGTTTGCATATTCTCATAAGATCGAGTGTACAGGTTCCCATCAGATCTATTGTACATGTTCCCATCAGATCGAGTCTGCAGGTTTTCATCATATCTAGTGTGCAGATTCTCATAAGATCTAGTGTGCAGGTTCCCATCATATCTAGTGTGCAGATTCTCATAAGATCTAGTGTGCAGGTTCCCATCAGATCTAGTGTGCAGATTCCCATCAGATCGGGTGTGCAGATTTTCATCTGATCGAGTGTGCAGGTTCCCATCAGATCTAGTGTGCAGGTTCCCATCAGATCAGGTGTGCAGGTTTTCATCAGATCGAGTGTGCAGATTCCCGTCAGATCGAGTGTGAAAATTCCCGTCTGATCTAGTGTGCAGGTTCCCATCAGATCGAGTGTGAAAATTCCCGTCTGATCTAGTGTGCAGGTTCCCATCAGATCGAGTGTGAAAATTCCCGTCTGATCTAGTGTGCAGGTTCCCGTCAGATCGAGTGTGAAAATTCCCGTCTGATCTAGTGTGCAGGTTCCCATCAGATCGAGTGTGAAAATTCCTGTCTGATCTAGTGTGCAGGTTCCCATCAGATCGAGTGTGAAAATTCCCGTCTGATCTAGTGTGCAGGTTCCCATCAGATCGAGTGTGAAAATTCCCGTCTGATCTAGTGTGCAGGTAGTCAATCGATAAAATAATCACAAGTTAAGAACGTAGAGAAGATATCGAAAAAATGTCGGTGTGTCAAACACAACTGATGATGCAGAAGAATTTCGCGAACGGCCCATAAAACAAAACGATTCCTTTTACATCGACAAATATTGATAGCATCATGAAGCGAAAATTTAATGTACAGCCAATCTTCATGAGTAGACGTGTCCTCCAGGCGAGATCAAAGTTTTAAACAACGTCTATAAACATGGTAAAGAGTTGTCGATTTTTTCTTTCCTTCATCAGTAGTCCAAGAAGATATATTCCGGCAGTTGATGACTTGTCAGCCTTAAGTCTGCACTGGGATTCTGGGTACACACAAGTCAGTGATTTCAAGCTACCGTATTGCTGGTTAGTTTCCCGTGGATAATATATTCGCTATTTCGCGGTACATTAACGTGAAAATTAAATCCTTGAAATATAGACATGAGTGTATTATATGTCTTTTTACGTCAAAATCGGAAAAATTCAAATATTTCTCTGTCGTTTTAAAAGAAAATCGTGTCGTGGAAATTACCAGCGATACCGTATTAATTAGGATGAAAACAAGCTGTCCTGTTTTTCGAGATTATCATGCAGAGTTATCACTGTATCAATTATATTTTCTTCCTAGGGATGTTTTGTGTGTTTAAGTCGAATAACACTTGGGATAACCATTTGTAGCTCCGGCCCCTTCTCCTCTCCCTTTTTCCTTACTTCTATGCTCTCTCCCGATGAGTAACCCTTCTTGTTGTGCTACCTTCGGAGTAGTCTTTAGTCCTCTCCATAGCTTACCGCTCCACGTTTCCTCCCAAATTTTAATCTCTGTTGCTGCACCCCTACCCGACAATTCCCATTACCTTTCAGAGTGATGATCACGTGCACTATACTGCCCCTACCCTTCTCTAACCCCTTTTACTCCCGGATGATAGCCTGGAGCTGTCCCTACAGCCCCTAACCCACTACATCCATATAACATCAAACCGATAATTTCTCAACGACATGCCCCGCCCCCTTACACCATTTTAAACATTTTCTGTCCTTGCAATAAATTTGTGTGATTGATTCTGCCCCCTAACCTTCATAGTAAGTTACCCCGATAGACAGCTATGTGTTCCATCAAGGTGTTTTTTTATGTATTCTGTCTGTCGTCCCTTGCGATTTGACATGGACCAGATTTACAGCCCATAATTAGATCTGAAGTGTTGTAAAAAACGCTTGTCGAATTACCTACAGCGATCTGCAGTGAGAAACCATACTGTAATTAATTTATCTGCCGGTCACAATTATAGTCTGGCTTAGGAAATAACTCTCCTGCCTGCTTTGCAAGTTCATTGGAATATATAAACAATTATAGTTTATAACAAAAACACCAAGCGATCTTCAAACCATGATTATATAAACCAATTCTATACTTTTGGTAGTCAGTGTTCGTCATAACTGGTATATAACGTTATTGATAAGTTATGCTATAGTTTTGTAAGCGATGACATGAGAAGCGAGCAATATTACTGATAGTCAACACAGGATTAGTGAGCAATATTACTGATATGTAAACACAGGGATTGGTGAGCAATATTACTGATATGTAAATACAGGATTAGTGAGCAAAATTACTGATATGTAAACACAGGGATTAGTGAGCAATATTACTGATAGTCAACACAGGGATTAGTGAACAATATTACTGATAGTCAACACAGGGATTAGTGAGCAATATTACTGATATGTGAACACAGGATTAGTGAGCAATATTACTGATATGTAAATACAGGATTAGTGAGCAAAATTACTGATATGTAAACAGGGATTAGTGAGCAATATTACTGATATGTAAACACAGGGATTGGTGAGCAATATTACTGATATGTAAATACAGGATTAGTGAGCAAAATTACTGATATGTAAACACAGGGATTAGTGAGCAATATTACTGATAGTCAACACAGGGATTAGTGAGCAATATTACTGATATGTAAATACAGGATTAGTGAGCAAAATTACTGATATGTAAACACAGGGATTAGTGAGCAATATTACTGATAGTCAACACAGGGATTAGTGAGCAATATTACTGATATGTGAACACAGGATTAGTGAGCAATATTACTGATATGTAAACACAGGATTAGTGAGCAAGATTACCTGACCTTATTCTCCTTGAACTTTTGCTGGAGTTTCCGTGTAAATCTTTATTTTGTTTTGTTCCCATTTTCATCGAATGTTTTGTTTGCATTATGATTTCGTTAACATGACGGTATTTTTTTTTGTTTACACAAGGATTTGTAGCGAGCAATGTTAATGATATTTAAACACGGGGGTTTGTAGACAGCACATATTTACAGATTTTCTTACATCCCATTCACTATATAGGGACGAATTAAGTCTTCAAGTATTAAAGCACTTAACATGACAACAAATGATAAAACAACTACCACAACTAAATAAAGATTCTAACAGGAGCGTGCAAATTTTCAAAGCCACGTGCATATTTCCAACACTTGTTTACATACTACGTCACCAGCAGGCGAGCTATTTTAAACTTTTCTCTTCTGGCGTCAACCGAGATGAAAGTTTGTATTTATCTCTATGCACAAAAATCGTTCATCTCGATTCTTTTAATACACATGTAGACGCTAATTATAACGCATGACCCAGAGTCCGCCCCCGCACGCGCTACGCCAACAAGGTGGTGCTATATCGTGTCGGATGCTCCTTTTGATTGTGTTTACGATAAAAATATACTTATACGTGTATATATGATATTTCCGGTTCCATATCTCGTACAACAGCCCTGTGCTGGATAATGTCGTCAATCTCACCATTTTGGAATGCGTTTGGTTTGATCTGAGGGCGTGGAAAGTAAGGTGGGGAGGGGGGGGGTGTTGGTTATATGTAATCTATGTTTTCCATTTTTTGAAAATTCATCACCTCTCATTCGAAACGATTAAATAAAATTAACAATAATTTACGATGGTGTTATGATGGTATTAAGTAGCTGTATTTACAATAAATCTATGATGACGACCAAGTTTTGTACTTTCAAGGAGTTATCATATTTTTTAGGACTGTAGTACTGTACTCGTGGTGGTACTAAACACTTACCAAGGGAACAAATATGTTGAGATAGAGACAGTCCTCGTCTTCGTTCCAGAAGTCGGGGTAATGTTGGTGGACATATTGGAAATCGTGCATCTGAGGACAGGCAGGAGGAAGCTCGAGAGTATCCAAGACACCCTCCCAGGACCGGGGTCTTTGGGGGCGCTGCAAGGTGAAGCATATCAAATAGTACAGTGACAATACACACGTGACAATTAAACGTTTTTAAATTCATATTTTGTTTGTTTCGTTTGAGACAGCACATGGAATTACAATGTACATGTATATAATGATTATACCATATTTCATCAATGCAAGATGGCCGCGAACACAGCCAAAACAATTATATATACATATATACACACCACAGCTCACTTACGTAATTGGCACAACACACTTTGATACATCCTGTAAAAACTTCATTATGACGTCATGAGACAAAAACATACATTATAATGACAAAACCCAAAGTGGTTTGAAAAACACCAGACGAAAATCCTTTCTGTGGAATTTTTACAAGCAATGAAGAAGATTTTAAGTTATTGATCAAACATTAAAAAGATGTTTTACTTAATCAAAGCGTGATTAAAATACCTTACGAAATTCTGAGGTTATTCGCGTTATTGCCGGAAATAAACTATTGATTCATTTTACAGAAAGATGGTCGACTGTACAAATACTGTCTGATATATGATGTTCTTAATATCAATAAGCTGAGCATACTTATGTAAAATGAGTTTCATCTACGACTTCAGTTCTACCACAGATTTTAATTGAGATACAATATTTTAACATTTCTTTCCACCCCCCTCTCCCTCGCATGTTTATTGCATATTCAACGAGACGTTTAATGGATCAAAAATGTCGAAACAACCTGTGAACATTTAAATAGAAACCACTTTGTCCCAATATGCAATTTGTGTATCCGTCGTTATATGAATATATCAATTTTGTCTCCCTGTGATTCTGACTCATAAATATTAAAAGTATAAAGAAAACTCATTTGAAACGTGTCAATTCATCATGTGTAGGTCTATACAACCGTCGAAGACAGATTACGGCTGGAAACTTCCACACAAACTTATATCATAACGGCTTTATGCAGAGCCTAGTTGAGCTGATTGTGTTAGAGTACGGTGCTGTCACCTGATGTACGATACATCCCATTAAACTACATAACCGACGTCGGTAATGGGGTGAGAGGCACTGTCGGTAAAGGAAGTAAATCGTATCAATGTTATTGGATAGGAGTAACGATCGCTGCACAAAACGTACTATAGCATGCATTAAAATCTTATATTACGTCTCACTTTCTTGTTTGTTGGTAATGATGTCATTTAAAACTTGATGAGAAGAATGCGATATGACTGCGTTCTTGTGTAAATACACATTTAGTGGTCGTCCTAGCAACTGTGTCAACACTCGCGCAGTTACTCTCATACACTGGAAATATTACGATGAATTTGAATATCTTCGTTTTTTTAAACCAGTGATTGTTTGTTTTCAGGTTGTCAGAGGTATGGTTGTGGTACACATTCAATGGCAAATTTTGGTATCGCCAGCTTTGCGTTATATCTTTTCCTTAAGCAGCTGAATTGCACACTTTAAGTTTTGCAATTGGTAATATATGCTACATATCTCTAGACTTAGAACTTGTCTGTTTTGAATACACGTCTTTAGAGTAAAATCTTGCTGTTTGTTTTGCCAACATAGCTCTACAGTTTTTGTTGTTGCTTTGTTTTTGACTTAAGTAGCAATAGGATTGGGTACAAATTTTACTTACAAACTTATCAAAAACCCTTTCTAAAACAATGAGAGAGAGAGAGAGAGAGAGAGAGAGAGAGAGAGAGAGAGAGAGAGAGAGAGATGTGAATACTTCCTCCTTGTCTATCGTTGCTTTATGGAATATTCGTTTTCAATTGTTCACTTACAGCTCAAGAATCAGCTGTTATTTCCGTTTTTCAAACATACTCCTATGCTAAACTGTTATTTCCGTTTTGTGCAAATATACCCCTATGATTACCTGTTGTTGTCCGTTTTGCAAACATACTTCTGGAAAGTTTTTTAAACGCTTCATTATCACTAACAGCTTTTGACCATTTTGAAAACATACATTTGAATAAGGTGTTATCCGTTTTGCATTTTTACGGTTTGCAAACATATCTGTTGTTGTTGATTTTGCAAACATACTTTTATAGTTAGCAGCAGTTGTCGTCCGTTTCGCAAACAAACTTTTATACTTAGCAGCAGTTGTCGTCCGTTTTTCAAACAAACTTTTAATAAACTTTACCCCTAGAAATGCCTATGAAGCTCACGGTTGTGAATCAGTTTGTTACCCTTTATCACCAGATTGTTGTTCTGCTACGTCACATGTTCCGTCTTCCTCTCTTTCAGTTCACGGTAGCTACTGAGTTTTATTGTGGAACAACTGTGATTCGCTCAGCTTCATTTTCTATGTTTATTTGGTTTCTGTGTTTATTTGGGTTCTAAGTTTATTTACGCGTACACGTATCACCTAAAACCTTGTTAATATGTTCTGTTATGTACGTAAATCTTATATCGAAGTTTTTAACTGAAATATGATAGGAAAAACATTGAAAAAAAAGGTAAAGTTTTACACAAATTGCTGCTGTTAATAGAAGACTGTTTGAATACTCCAGCCCATGGGTGGAGTAAGATACATAAAAATATCTGCAACAATGTTAGCACTCCAGAAACGATCAAACGCTACCAAAATTTGCATGCAGATAAACCCTAACCTTAACCCTATTAACTAGCTCACTGTTATATGATAAGGCAACTCTGCGATACAATTCGTCGACAGAAGTGCTATCAACCCTCTTTGTAGCTGCCAACAGATCAAATAAATTGTCACCCCTCGTAACGAGGTCTTTATATGACATTAAGAACAGTATGATGCATGTTTGTCTGTTAAAAGATATATTGCTCTACACCTGATAGCGGTTGTAAGTTAAACTGGACCGGGATGGATTATTCAATTCATTTGAAGGGGGAACCAGCATGCTTTGTATTGTGTTCAGAGATACCATTAACAGAGAACAAGCGATCGTGTCGCTCTTCCGGTTTTGTCAATGTCAGAAAAACAGAACAATAACATTTTGAAGTCTTAACGTTATTGATATTGATGTGTATTATTTCCTTTTTGAAAGGACATATTTTTATGATATATGTTTTGACTGACAAGACTTGCAAGTTTCAGTACACTTAAACCGGAACTCAAATGAATACCGGTAGATGATTATAAACGGGAAATCAAATATGTTTTCTTTTCGACAAGCTTTTGGCATATGCGTCTAAAACAGTATTGCATGTTTTTCAGTCAGTTTGAATTATTTACAACTTTAATTATGTTTTACATGAAAACTATAAAAGGATACATTGGAAGTAAAATGTCTGCGCTGCAGTAGAAGGTCATATATATGCAATTCGCTGGTTTTTATTTCGTCAAATGACCCTACTAAACCACTTCTGAAATAAAAAGCGTTCGTAAAGTGTCTTCACTCGTCACAAGGGCCTGATAAATCTAAAAAAACATTCACGCAAACTTTGATACTTACACTCGGTGCGAGTTTCTCCGATTCTTCACAAACCATCCGAGTAGCTGAGTGTAGATGTTCTCAACTTTCAAAAATGTTTACCGAATTTTGAATAGATATGTTGTAAACCAATCTTTGAGAGAATATTCAATTAGAATAGCGTCATCAGGATAAGCTTGATATACAAACTAAGGGTAAACTGATAACTTAGTCGCCAATTTTCCCGCCAAATTAAGCAAAACTTTCCAATCATGTGATTAAAAAAAACCCAAACAAACAAAAAAATAAATAAATAAACCAAGTCAAACGATTTCTAATAAAAAATCAACACTTTCGTTATTTTAGAATGGGGACAGCATGCTTGTTACTGGAGATAAGATCATGAATTCTGTCATTTTAACACGAGACGCACCAAAAATCGTGATCTAATCTTTAGTATATAATAAAATAAACATACTATCCTTCTAAAATAATTTTATTTTAAAAGTGATGCTATGATCGCAATACCAACGAAATTCAACAAAAACTAAGATATGCATTTTTTAAAATTACAACGGTCCCTCATGTGTTCAAATCAAAACGCTCTTTTAAACCATTGATGACATAGAATCTCTGCCCACTTACCAGTCAATTTGTCAATACATATGAAAAGGCTTACAATGATTCTCTAACTACATTATTTCTCATAATGGTAATTCATGTTGATTCTTAGTGTACGACATCCAAAACTATAACGTCTATCTCCCAGTCATCGTGGAGAGGTATCGACAAGAGACCGTGACGTCAGACCCACCAGAAGTTGTCAGTACATTTCTTTCAAGTGGAGAATGGTATTTACGTACCATTTCGTATAGAATTATCCAGTTATACTTGGAGACGACATCATGTGACATGATTTTATTTTAGTCGTGATATTAAAACTGTATTTAATCTCTGTATTGAGAATATCACATGACGTTACAGGACAGATGACGTCTGTATCGTCGTTCTGACATTAACAACAAACTCACTTGAAGGGCAGAAAAGATGACACCTTTGGGTCGGTCGTTACAATGAATTTGTCAAACATATATCTCAACTGGAAAGAAGGCCACCGTTTTTAAGCTAGCGTCGGAGTATTTTTCGAAAATTGGATCATGAAAATTATTCAATTTTAAAAATCCGTTACATAACCATCGCCATTAAATGTTGAAATGTGTATTAAAAAAGAAAATACCCTTGGTGTTTTTATTTAACTTTTATCAATATTTGCGGCAATTTTTTAGTTTTCTATACCTTACAATATAAAAATTTATGTCACTGGGATTTACGTGCGTTCACGGCAAAACTCTTTACGATACTTACGTTCCTTATCGCCAAGGTCTTTCACGACTACATCGCCGTACATTCGTATCATCTCTCAGAGTTTAGATAAATCTGTCAAGCCGATTGATATCCTTTAGAGAACTAACGTTTTCCTGTATTTTTTTCAATCATTACGGTTGGTAACGGATTGGGAAATACCAAAAGCATGTTTAACATCGACGAAATTTTCACACAATTTATAATCTGTTTCGCTGATAGATCTACATTTTCTGTTGTATAGTTTTCTACGTTCTCTATCAGTGG